CTTGCCATCATTAAAAACAAAAATGCCCTTTTTCTGAAGCCCTGCAAGTTGAAGCTGGGTGACTTGATATAAACGTCAAAGAAATCGCCACAACGAATCATGTGTGGACAGCCTTCATACCTGCTGCTGTGTAGGCCACTCAGAGAGTTCACCATAAGACCTGATGCCATCACCAGAGACATTCAAACTAAAAAAAAAAGTATCAGATTGCCATTGCCTGTTGCGTGTCCACCATCTAAAGATGCTTCAAGCCCAACATCTCAAAACCTTCTCGACTGACTGCCCTCTGGACTCAAAAACTGAGTTTGTAGTTTGTTCTAATCATTAGGCTTTGCTTTTCTTTTGTTTCCATGGAAATGCCCCTCATTAAATGCCTCTTACTCATACTGTATAAAGGCGTATTTAGACACTTCCCACCACCCCCCTACTTCCACCTACACCATTGCGTCCTAAAATAGGACACAACGATTTTAGGACTAAGAGACTGATTCAATGAGTTACGGAACAATTTATCAACTCAGCTTCTGGGTTGTGACACCAGTATTATCTTGGTAAACAAACTGTAGTACCTAATAATATTTTATGTATTTTAACTTTTCTATGGAAATTTTGAAACATATGTAAAAATAGGCTCAATAATATAAGGAATCCCTATGTGCAATCTCCCAGCCCCCACAATGATCATCTCATGGCCAGTCTCATCTATTTTACATGTATCAACTATTGGGTTGTCGGAAAAGTCATGAAGTAATTTTTCTCTGTTTTTCGTTGCAAAAATGCATCATGACTTTTCTGACAACCCAGTACTTTACAGTCTTTGAAATACTTTCATCTACATTATCTCGTTAGATTATCCTAGCAACTGTGAAAGGTAGGTTGTGTTGTTCAATTGTAAAATCCTATTTCTAACAAATTAGCATTTTAATATAAATGCCAATTTTTAAGATAGTGAAGAAAAAAGATAAAGTTTGCTCATATGTCTTTATGCATGTTTTATTGGGTTTTTATGTATCCTAATTCATTAATAAAGGGAAAAGGAGGAACACTGGCATATTTTATCTTCAGCTATTATTCAAACTGAATGGAATTATTTTCTAATAAAATTTTAAGTTAAATTGCCAATTTCTACTTTTCTAGAAAATCACTTTTACTGAATAACATTGATCCCAACTCATTCTATAAAAATGGGATTTTACTGAACAAACTACTTCTAATGTCACATTTTGTACATAATAGCTGCAAACATCTAAAATGTTATGGAAACACTATAATTTAGAATAATTCTAGGCCAAAAGTAATATTTGTAGAGGATCCAGATGCATGAAAATAAAATAAACTAAATGAGCCATTTAATCCGTGCTTTGGATGTCATTTTTCTGACAGTTATCAGTGAAACTGTCATGTATCCCTGGAATTTGGGGCTATTAGAATTATGTATTTTGATATCACCCTTTCACATAATTCTGTCTGGTATTTTAACAGAAAGTATTTATGTTTATGTGCATGTGGGGATTGATTATCAATGCCTTCATATTACATTATACTTGCACATAAATTAGTTCTGATTCTTTTTACAACCTGATTTGCATACCTATAATACCATCATATAGATATTTACAAATACTTAATTATGCATAGATTTTTTCCTGCTCCCTTTCTTACTTGACTAAGAATATCAAGGATGTCCCCAAATCCGGACTTGAAGGTTGATTTGGTTACACTTGCAGAACCCCAGGCTCAAATGTCAAATAGGATCAGTTCTATACAGTGCACCAATCATGCTGCAATCTTTTTGCTGCAGAAGTTACAGTTGCGTATTACTCATCAAGGCAGAATGTAAATGTTTAGTGATTATACAATATGTTTTTGTTAACTCCCCAGATGGGATTTTTTTTTACCTTTGTTTGTTTATTTGAGAACAACAACTGAAGGCTGAAATGCATTGCCTGATGCCAGCAATCTAAAGGCTTCATTAGTACAGATGAAGCGATGCTCATTTGTTACTCAAATAATTAGAGAGATTAAATGAATATAAACAGGGAAGATGTACAGAAGAAGCTCTGAAGTTAGGTAATCATTTTAATTACTCGGGTGACTTCCACCAACCTCCATTATCAGACACAGATCAAGTTTATATCGTTTTATGTAAGAATATCATAAGCTACATGGAAAAGTACTAGAGTTACCCAGTGATGATTCTTCATAAAAATGACATTTCTTCAAGCTTCCATTTAAAGGAGTTGTTTCCATTCCAGCATCTGATGAACTCTCTATTTTAAAAGAGATGAAATTTTGCACTTAAAAGTGTTTTACCCTGGTTTTATGTTTTAAATGGACATTCTTAATATTTTTTGTGTATCTTTACTGAGATTTAATCATAAAAGATGTGGGCGCACATTTTTGAGATACTAAATGTAAAACGTTATGACATATTCAGTAGTTTAAAATAAATGCCACTTGTAATAATGTTATCCTTATTGCTGACAAGCTGGACCTTGTATTTGGGGTAAATTGATTTCCTCTTTCTCCCCCTCCCTACTCCAACTTGGAAACATTCTACCATCCACACTAATGCCTTCCTGACAGGTGGGCCCCGCTTTGGAGACATTGTCAGTCCTGTTTACAATGGATTTCATTTTCTATTTCTATGTGATGATGATCCTGCAATGTCTCCTGGGTTAAGATCCTTTGAGGATGTGCAAGCTGTATTTAAGAACCATTTATTGACTGCCTGCATAAGACCAGCTTCTCTGCAAAATACTTTACCTAACTTACTCTATTTAATCCTTACATGATTAATTCCCATGAAGTATGCATTATTAACTATATACTCTAGATGAGAAACTGAGACTTTGAGAGCCTCATTGACTTTCTCAAGTGGCCCAATGAGCCCATCTGGGAATCAAACCCAGGTCTGCCTGACTCCAAGAACCATGGCGCCCCCAAGGGAGAATGGGATGAGGTAAACCTGAATGCAAGGGCTGATGAAGGATAATAAGAAAGATGAAGTGACCTCAGTGATGTGGATGTGCAAGTCAAGGGTTGCGTTGTATGACACCTGTGAATTCTAGGCACCAGTTAAAATCTCACATTCCAAAATTTGATGGATTTTGAAAGTCTTCCATCTCTGAACAGCCCTGGTTGCTTGGAGAAGAAGCAGTTAGGAAATAGGTTTTATGGTATAGTGGGACTAACCAAGAGCTCTCTACTAACAATGGTTAGTGATGCTTTTTAATACAATCCACTAACCACGTGAGCTTTTCTCCAGCTAGTACACAAGGCATTTCTCTTCAGCTACATTTAAAAATCCCAACAGGAAGGAGACTTCGGTAATCTTTAGTGTGTGTGTGTGTGTGTGTGTGTGTGTGTGTGTGTGTGTGTGTGTGTGCGCGCGCGCGCGCGCTGTTTTCTAGTATTTAAGAAAACCCTTTACTGAATTCTCTCCCCTCCCTCCTTCCTTAAGATGCTGACATTGATTTTAATTTCCGGGGGGGCACCCCCAGGCCTGACCAGGACACCTTTTCCCCAGGTTGTGTTATACTCAGAGGTCCATTAGGCTGCCGAGGCTCCCAGAAGGTGTCTAATAAATTCATTGTTTCCTATGTTTAGGAGTCACTAATCCGCCGAGTTTAGAGTAAGAACTGTGGGTGATACAGGGATGTCAGGACAAAAGGCTTGTCCTTGCGGGGGCGGGGCCCGGGGGAGCGTGTTAAACCTGCCCATGTCACACTCAGGTTAGAGACTGCGAGGGGGAAGTTAGGAAACTTACAGAAGCACCAGCACCTGATGATGGGTGGGAGCTGCAAGGGTAGGGCTGAGAAAAAGAGGAGCGTGAGGAAGACTGGAAGGGCATCGTCCAGGAGCTCTCTCCATCGCGCCCTCAGAAGAACAATCAGAAGGATTTATTTGCGAACAAGACAGAGGAAGACAGACAACCGAGGGAAGATGGACTCAGAAATTAGCATAGGCTGGTGGGGGAGGGGGAGTAAAAAGGCTTCCCTGCTGCTTTGCAAGCATCTTCCTGGAATGTGACCATGAAGCGTGGCCCCTCTTCTTTCTTCCCAGGACATTAAAGACAGCCAGGGACTCATCATAGGTCCGCTAGATAGAAAAAGTCCAACTAAGCGCCAGCTGTTGACTCGTTCGTTGTCTTCCAGACACTGTCCATAGTTCTACACCGTATCGTAAGCTCCCTTTGATTTTAATTTCACGGTGTTTACATCTACGAGGACCAGCCCCGCCCAGTCGGGCTGTGTCGGGTGTGGCTTCTGCAGGCCGCGCGCCCTCGGGAAGCCACTGGCTGGACTTGGGGGACCCACGTTCCATTTCCACTTGGCCACTTGTCACTGACCTCGGAAAAATCACTTTAAACTTTGAGCCTCAGCTTCCCCATCCAGAAAATGAAGTGGTTCTACTTCCCAGGCCTTCTTCAAAGGCTCTTCGGGAGGATCAAACAGAATAATTCCAATGGCAGCGAACTTCGAGGAACTGTGACTCCAGATTACCGAAGAAAAATAAGTTAAGCATATTCAAGTGGAGTTTTAGGAATTTCCCCCCAGTGATCTCACTGCAGTCAGACAGCAACCCTTCGGATTGATTCTTACGGGCTATCTCACATGCTAAACACCTATGTGCGCCCTCCTCCCCTCGGTCTCCCAGGGCTTCTATTGATTTCTGCCTTTCAGTGAAAGCGCTTTTTGTTGCGGCTGTTCGGCACACCCCCAGCACACCAACCCCGCTGCTAGAAGCCAGAGGCCATCCTTTGCCCTCTCCAACCTCTCTTTTCACTCCCCACCCTAAGTCTCCCGAGTTCTTCGCACGTCAGTGGGTTTGTCCTGGCTCATCTCCAAAGACCTTGCAGTATTTCAGAAAGCTAGGAGCGCGCGGAGATCAGCGAACGAGCATCCGCCCCCTCCTGGAGGTCGTGCGCCCCTCGGGGACCCTCCTCCGGCTCCTCCTCTCGCGGTGCAGCAGCCGCCTCCAGAGCTAGCTCGCGGGGCCGTCAGCGCCAGACCCGGCGGAGCGCCGGACCCCTCCCCACTTCCCTCTCGCAGCCCCTCTCCGCCAGTAGCAGCGCTGCTGTCTTCCCACAGGAGGACTGGGAGGACGCCAGAGTCCGCAGCGCCCCCGCCCCCTCTCTTTTTCTTTCTTTCTTAGCTTTGGGATCTTGCTGCCGGAGCCTGGAGAGGTTCTGAGAAAAGAAGAGCGAGGGGCTGAATGAAGTGCAGGCTTCAGCGGCAGCGCGCGAACGGAGCTGGGGTACTGCATCCCCGGCGTCCCCTCCCGGTTCTTGCCGCCCTGGCTGGGATGTGACGAAGGGAAGCCCTCAGCGCCTGCCTCCATCCCTCGAAGGTGCCCCAGAGAGCGCACTGGGTGGTGGTGGTGGTGGGGAATCCTCGGTTGGAGTCCCTTTGCCCGCAGCGCCGCGGGGCAGGAACGGTGAGGCGCCCCGGGGTCCGGCTCCCAGCTCCCACTCTTTAGAAAGAGCGCGGCAGGGATCACCGCCTTCCCGGCGCTCCGCATAACTCCGGGGCCAGCAGCGCGCGCCTGGACCAGTCCCGCTTCCAGCCGATTCACCCGGAATAGGGGGCAGCGCCTGCCCACCCGCCTGCACTCCCCGTAGCCCTAGCTCCTTGGCACCTGTGCCGATCCCCCACCCCAGGGCACTGAGCCCCGCGGCTCCCGGTACCCGCAGCGCCCCCAGACTCTATGAAAAGCGCGCCGGCCGCGGCTTCCTGAGTGCCGGAGCTGCCGTCGTCCAAACTGCGCCCTGGGGTCCCTCGACTGGCCCCTCTTAGGGGCATCCGAGAGGCCGAGGAAGAGCACACCATGAAGTCCGTGCTGTTCAGCCGCTTCTTCATCCTCCTGCCCTGGATTCTAATCGTTATCATCATGCTCGACGTGGACACGCGCAGGCCGGCGCCCCCTCTCACCCCGCGCCCCTACTTCTCTCCCTATGCGGTGGGCCGCAGTGGCACCCGACACCCGCTCCGCAGGGGTGGCCCCGACAGCGGCCCCGGGCGCGGATTAAAGAAGCGCAACGAGTCGCGGCCGCGGTCGCAGCCGCAGCCGCAGCCGGAGCCGGAGTCGCCTCTGCCCACCATCTATGCCATCACACCTACCTACAGCCGCCCGGTGCAGAAAGCCGAGCTGACCCGCCTGGCCAACACCTTCCGCCAGGTGGCGCAGCTGCACTGGATCCTGGTGGAGGACGCGGCGGCGCGCAGCGAGCTGGTGAGCCGCTTTCTGGCTCGGGCTGGCCTGCCCAGCACGCACCTGCACGTGCCCACGCCGCGGCGCTACAAGAGGCCGGGGCTGCCGCGCGCCACCGAGCAGCGCAACGCCGGCCTCGCCTGGCTGCGCCAGAGGCACCAGCACCAGCGAGCGCAGCCTGGCGTGCTCTTCTTCGCGGACGATGACAACACCTACAGTCTGGAGCTCTTCCAGGAGGTAGCAGCCTGCCCGCCCTAGCTGGGGGCCAGGGCGGGAGGGGCCCTCGAGGCAGCCTGGGCTGCGGCTGCACTTTGAAGTTCTTACTTTTCTCTGAGCCGTTTCGGGACTCCAGATGGAGCGCTCCTCGCCGGCAGCCTCCGCTGGCCAAAGGGGTGGAGAGGGGGTGAGGACCGTTGTGATTCAGGGGGAAAAGAGTGTGGCCAGGAGCTTTGCTGTCCACCTGGCCCCGAGTTTGGGCCAACGGAGTTGCACAGGTGTGGGGCGCGGGAGTGATTTCCAAGAACAGGCTCTGGCTGGCCTGAGGATGGAGCCCAGATGAGAAGGGCGGTCGGGGAGGCCAGCTTCCAGAGGAGGAGATCTGGGGAGGGACCCTGCGCAGTGGGTGGCGGCTTGGTGTATAACCCACACAGGTGTGATTTGGAGCCTGGAACCCTATGGGGAGGAACGTGGAGTAGTGATTAAAAATCAGCCCAGAGACAGATTTCTCTGGCACAGCCCACCGGCACAGAAACGATTATTAGTGAAAATAGTGCTTTCTAGGGGTTCTTCCCTTTGTCTCTTCCTGCACCCCACAAACGGCCATTTCCAACTCTGCAGACTGCCTTTTTTTTTTTCAAGGAAACCCTCTGGCAAATGATTTGAAACTATTCTGCCCGGTGGTTATGTCGTTTTGCAACCTTAGTATCAGCTGCACTGACTGCCCCGTTCCTTTACTCGACCTTTCTCTAAGGCCTCTCTTAGGTGAGTTAGCCCGGCCTCTCATTCTGGTGCTCAAGTGAGGTCCTGAGGGCAGCCTGGCCCGCTGCTGCTGAGACGGCTCTCTTTTCCCTTGGAAGGCCTCACGTGACCCCGGGCCAGCGGGCTGGGGTTTAGGACAGGTGGTATTTCTTGAGGCTGATATTTTGCTCTGTGTGTGTGTGTGTGTGTGTGTGTGTGTGTGTGTGTTGCAAATGCGACTGAGTTACACGGTTTTTGTCAGTTTTCTTCTTCCTTATACACAATAATAGCTGAAAAAAATCTCGGATTGTTTGACATCCCCTGGGACTGTTGCCTTCCTCTACCCCAAATTCCTATACATCCTACCCCTGAGATTCCAAAGTTCCCCCTACCCCCAAAGTAAACTGGACAATCAGTGTGCCTAGTAATCACATATGCCCCACACTTTCATCCTAATACCTGTTTGGCTTTCTTAATCTGAGAACGAAGCTACTCTGTACCCTTCCAGTTTCATTTTGCTGCCTATGTGGCTTTAAAAAATCAATTTCTTAAGGGCAATTACCACCTTCATTTCTATTCATCCTCTCCTTCTTCATGACTAAAAGGACCAGTAATTGCTCTCCATCTTCTCCATCCTTTCAAGCCTGATGTTAGCGCTTTCTGTATGTTTCTCCAGAAGAAATAAATAAGCTTGACATGGTATGGTATAGTCTTTATTATAACCAAGATGAGAGATATCTGATTTTTTTTAAGTTGGGCTTTTATTTTGATTCCGCTTGCATACTCTCCCTAAAAAGACATGGTTTGTATTCTGAAGCAAAGACGTTTACATGTCAGTATATCCAAACTCTTTCCTTTCCCCCTACAACTTGGAAGTTGCCTTACCTGTGAAAATATGTAGTCTTGCGAATGTAAACCAAGGCACATCATTATTAATTAACCTTTTAGCAGCTGTGAAGGGGAAGTGATTTTCATTTTATTTCCAGCTTCCAGCCCTTTGGTGTGAAGTGTTAGATGAGTGGAAGAGTTGGCACGACAGACAGTGAAATGATTCAGAAAAGGCTCTTTAATGCTAACCAAACTGAAAGGAAGGCTTGTTGGGTGGTGGATATTAAGCAGCAAGAGAAGAATCCTGTAGGTTTTTTTCACTGGTCCACAGGAGAAGCGGGGGGTAGAATACGAGAAAGGAGAGGGTGAAGAAAAAAAAATAGCATTGTCCAGAGAAAACTATAAAGGAAAAAGCATGCAAAACTTGCAAGACACTAAAATTGTGTTCAGTTGGAAGTAATGAAATAAGCAGAATGAACTTAAGAGCATGTGCAACTCTTTATGGACAAGTGCCAAGTATACAAAATACACAACAGAAGGAATTTTTTTAAAGCACAATATGCATAATACACTTAGAATTTAAATTCTATAGCTTCTAGAAGTTCCTCCCCGGCAGTAATTTTATGCAGAATTTTATGAGTCGTCCCTTTCTCCACTGCCATCCCTCCCCCTTCGCACACACAGTTTTTGAACAGAGTAGTCATCTGTTTGCCATGCATATATGTTGATACACTCAGATTTCCTGTTTACAACACATTCTTTTTCTCTCATGGCAAATAGTATTGAACTCTCTAAAAAGCCAGATTACTGGAGTTTATGCATCTTAACTTTTGTGCATTAATGGGGCGGCCTACCCTACACCAGTTTTAGGATTAATGATTCCATGTGGATTACAGTCTCGGCATTGCCCTCTCAGAGAAAAAAGTGGAACCAAATAAAACATCTGAAAACTGAAGCTTTTGGGGGAAGGGAAGATGCTGATCAGGCATGCTGCAGGGCAAAGGCATATATCTCAGTCCTTTATATGTGCACACACGCAAATTAGTTTTTAAGTAATTCACAGTACTTAAGGAAAGAAGGTCCCAAGTCAGGCTTCATCTTTTATTCATAGTGTTTCTAATTTCCATGGTTGATGTTAACGTAGATAAGATAAAAGGAGGAAAATGAACCAGGTACAAATTAGCTCACTAAGCATTGGCTGCAAATGAAGGAAAGTAAAAGATGAAAGGTCTCCAAATTAAATTAAAGGCGCAACAGGCAATCCACGTTCAATTATTCCTCCGTGGTAACTGGCTTAGGGCTTGCTTCTCCCATACAGCTAACTCATTTTCAGCCTCCCTTTTCAACTGAGCTGTGCAGCCAGGAAAGAAATGTTTGAACTGAACAATCCTACCTAACAGGCAAATCCGTGTGCCAGCGAGGCTCAGTGTGAGTTGTAGCTACAGAAACGGCCTGGCCATTGGAGAAGGAGGCGGTCGGGGTTCTCGGGTTTCCAGTAGGTCATCAACTACTGCTCTTCATGTGGCACTGATGTGGTTTTGCACTCAGAATAACAGCTACTCCCTCCTGCCTGTGTACCCTATCGGTCTAGCTGTCCAGAACAGCTTATTTGCAAAGGATTTAAACTGCTTTAATAAAAGCAACAACTCCAGAGAAACATGACTCTATATCCAGTCATATTTTCAATAACGCTGTGATCAGATTTCTGTTCCTTACTGGAAAACTTTCCAAACTTTCCTGAGTTAAAAGCTGATGCTTTTCAGGTGAAGTTGCTTTCACCTTTGCAAATCATAAAAAATAAAATAAATAAATAAATAAATAAATAAATAAATAAATAAAAGGTAGCACTTTCCAAGCAAGAACAAAAACTTTAAAAAATTGAGCTTTAATGAGGTAAGGCTGGAAGACAGGCCGACTCTGAAACACTTAAGGAGCTCAGGAAAGGACTCAGTGAAGGAGACTGCAGCTTGAAGGTGTTTATAACAGGCAGTGAACTAAAGAGGCCCATTGTTTGGGTTTTTTTCTTGGGTGCTGTTAAGCTATTTGAACGCTAGGCAGGTGGAGAGGGCAGAGGTTTAATTCCGTCTTGCCCCTTTCCTGAGCATTTATAAGCTCCTCCCTTTACATGCAGCTTATTGGAGCTATAATCTGAAGGACATTCAAATTCACAATGTTAAGCACTCCCCCCAATAATAAATGGTGTATGTGTTTCCTGAAAGGAGAAAAGAGATCTGCCTTTCCTTTTACTCTTGATACAGTTACTTAGTGTAGGGTAATTGTCTTTGCAAAGTGAAGAAACCCAGAAGAGTCTCCTAGGTGTAGCGCAAAAAGATTGTTTTACCTAAAATGTGCCCTTGTGTTTTATTTCTCCCTGTCTAAAAGCATATTAACACTCATGCCATAGGTCTGATAAAATGTGAGAATTTTGTAAAAAGATGTTCTTATAACTATAGCCAATTTTCTTAGACTATCAACGTTAAATCGACAGATTTTCTTGACTCTCCTTAGGTGTATAGTACTTGAGTTATGGCTACTTTTTGACAGAGTTTTCTTTGGAGACCAGCAGTTTTCATTTGGATTTCGATATTTTAGTGGAGCAGAAATAACAATTTGGGTTTAAAAGACATTCTGCCTTCTGCCTCTTCCTGTTGTCTTTTCTCATCATTTTTCCTCTTCCATCCTACTTTTCACTGACTATACTTTCTCATGAATAGACATGAAGACATGTCCATATTATTGTTTGGTGCAATGAATGTGTGTCTTTTAAACATTTAGACTGTTGTCTGCTCCATCGAAGGTCTTGGAAACTATAGTATGTGACTCCATTTTCTTCTGTCTACTCCATTTGACTCTAAGTTACAAGCTGGTAATTTTTCTCTTGTGTGAACAGTTAATGGAGTAGTAATAGCTTTTAAGGCATGCTACAAAAGCAAAATAGAAGAACCAAAATGAAGAGTCTTATTTATTAACAATTCCAGGTGGTACAGAATTCAGTAATGTTCAGATATGTCTATTCAAACCTTTTGGACTTGATGGAATATTTGCTCAGTCTGCATAAGTTAAGATAGCACATTATTGTATATTCGATTTGCAGTACTGTTGAAGTATGAAATTTAAGTTTTGCATGGTTCTCAAATTCGCTGCCCTAAACACAAATAAAATTGTTATACCAGTCCATAGACAGAGAGGTAGGTAGGTTTAGAATAGTTTACAATTCACATAAATAAACTAATATAATCCATTGTTCCTACCTGGTAATTTTTGTGTACAACCTTAAGTAAATGTTAAAAATATCCTTTACCATGGATACAAGCAAAATATAGCTGACATCAGTTGAGAATTTACTATTGGGCAGGAACCCCCCCCTTCGAGTTTTACATGTATTAACTTATTTGATCCTTACAGCAGCCCCTGGGGTAGGTATTATTAGTACCGTGCCCATTTCCCCACTC